GGAGGAGGAGAAGGAAGAGAGAAAAGAAGAAGACGAAATGAGGAGGAGAGAAGAAGAAGAAGATGAGAGGAGGAGGATAGAAAAGAAGAAGTCGAAATGAGCAGGACGAGGAAGAGGAGTGAAGATGAAGAAGACGAGAAGAGGAGGAGGAGGTCGGCACCTCGACCGGTCAGGTTGACGACGACGTGGCAGCTCGACGACGCGCAGTGCGATGGGAGCTCCACGCAAGGAGGAGGAGGAGGTCGGCTATGCGCGGAGGGCACCTGGATGACGACGGGGCAGGTCAGCTGGATGATGATGCGCCAGGGGCAGGTCGATGGTGACGGGCAGGTGGATGACGATGGTGGGGTTTTGAACTTCGTGGGCGGGGTGGACAATCCCCCATTCAAATTCGAATGTGGGATCGTAGCTCACCAGGGAGGATGGATCAGTCACCTAAAAAGGCCATCCCCTCCAGCCTAGAAACTTATAGAGATTCAATTTCTTTTTTTCAAGCACTAGGCGGCTGGGGAGGCCGCCAGTGGACGAAAAACGCGTCCCACCTCCCGCGCGCGAAATTGCGCTGGGCCTGCCCGGCGCCCAACCGGCCGAGCTGCCCTGGAGCCCTACCGGACGGTCCGGAGTTTTTTTTTTTTTTTTTTTTTTTAACAAGTCCTTATGGTCACGAGAGATGATCTGGGCGGAGCCGAAAACTTTCATACAAGCCGAAATCCTCTGCAGATGGAGGAAAATCAAACTAGCATGGTCGGAGGATGAGGAACAACAAAAGATGGCGAGACTGAGATTCAGCAAAGAGATGATGTAATCAATGGGACGCTGGACCCGATTTCCAGCAGGTGTTGCTCCCCACCAACAGATGGAGCCTCCCCGACGGTGCTAGAGGTGTCTGCTCTTATCAGCACACCTAGCATCCGATTGGGTTGTTTAAAAAATAAAAATAAAAAAATAATAATAATAATTAAAAAGAAAAAAGAAAAAAGCAAGGTATGGTTGATAAGCGGGAAAGTTGCTGAGTTACGAGACGACCGCATCTGCTGGAAGGACTGGCACAACTCAAATTCAGGAAGAAGCGTTCGGCTGCAATAATGTGAAACATGGGCAAGGCACCTCCCGATCAGGTTCCTAAAGAGAAAGCTACGAACTTATACCACCACATCTATGGAAGAACAGACTGGAGACGACTGTATGACACTGAAAAAGGGGGAGCGAGGAAGGGAAAGTTGACCAAAGGGATGTTGGAAGTAAGGGTGCAAGGAATACAGGCTCCCAAATCACTCAAATAGAACAGATTCCTAACTTCCAGCCTAGAAGGGACAGTAAGGTCCACAGGTTGAGGGTTTAGGGTCAAGGGTTTTAGTAGCGTTTAGAAGAAAGGGGCAGGCTTAACGGGATAGGGGATACCACGATTCACAGGCAGGACAGTTGAGTGGGGAATACACAAGTATGCAGAAATGATGGGTGAGCTCTTTCTAGGAGGCACAGGATTATTTGGCAGAACTGATTTTCAGGTCTGAGAGGGAAGAGTGAGACACGGCAAGCTGACAGTCAATCCTCCTCCTAATGGTGGAGCAATCAATGGTGTTCAGGGGTCCTTCGGCCATACGGAAGGAAGCGTGCGTTTCTGCTGCAATGTAATGTGTATTCTGACTTGCCGGTGGAATAGGAACCGGACTGACGCTCCCCAGAATAGAAGGAGCCAGGACCATAAGGCCCTGTTTTAAAAAAAAAAAAAAAAAAAAAAAAAAAAACAAGTCCTTATGGTCCTGGGTCCATATCCATTCTGGGGAGCGTCAGTCCGGTTCCTATTCCCCCCGCAAGTCGAAATTGAATACAACATAGGACATCCTCACACTTCGTTCCGTATGGCCGAGGGAACCCTGACCAGCATTGTTTACTCCTGATAGGAGGATTGACTGTTAGCTTGCCATTCCCTGAATTCCCTCTCAGATTTCCTCTCTGAAAATCTGTCAGCTAAAGCTTCGAAAACACAAGGAAAACTGAGAAACGACAAAAAATTTGCTCTTGGGTAGCTTTGAGGATTTTTTATCAGCTACATGGAAAACAGGTGAATGGGGGATCCAGATACAGGAACAGGCCCCCTCGAAAGCCTATCAATTCTCACACAAGGAACAGAGATCGAGTACGGTTGCGGTGTTCAAGTCATACACAATATTGCTGTCATCTCATGGCTCCGCTTCTATCGTGGACAAAGACGCGGAAAGAACAAGCCTAGCTACCCTGCTCCTCAGGAAAGTGAGAGTCATGGGCTCCTGGCCCAAAACAATCTTCAGAGTGGACACGGCGATCCAGGACCTGGAATTCGACCCAGCAGAGTGGGCCTGGACATCAGGTAGAAACAAGAATATCAATAGCAGACATCCAGGACTACTCAGTGAAATGGGCTACAGATTATTCCTCAAGACAAAAGACCCAGAACCCCAAATCAGAAGCCGATGGTCAAAATTAATCGGACAAGAGCCAGACAGATCTCACAGATCCCATGGAAAAAAAGATCAAAATGATTAGGCCAGTCAAAATTTGGAGCCTGCAATGGCTTATCGCCTATGTGGCGTTGCCGGTCAACCAATGGCTCCATATTCAAAGATGGAGGAATGACCCGAACAGTTCTGAACTATGCACAGTCTGTTCAGATAGCGAGCCGGAAGACATTCTTCACTGCCTGATACACTGTAAGGAAGCTACGGAGTACTGGGCCAAGGCGTCGGACCTCTGGAACTCCCTTTTCTCAAAGCCCCTTCCTGAATATCCCATCCAACTTCTACTATGGACTAACATCCCGATTTCAAAAACACAGAAAGGACATGGTTTGGCATGATCAGGAAGGTGACACTCTGGTCGATTTGGAAGGAATGATGCAGCAGGACTATCGAAGGGCTATCATCGCCGAGAGAAAAGGTATGGGCGGAGACAAGGACCTTGATCCAGGCAGAGATCCTATGCAAATGGCACAAGACAAGGCACTCCTTGCCTGATGACGAAGACCGGCAACAGAGTATCCTATCCAAGTTTGTCAAAGTTTGGCTGGTGGGAAGGAAAATCGCAGAGTTAACAGACTCCAACATACGGTGGAAAGAATGGGCGGTCCAGACTTTAACACAGAGGTTGTATGGAAAAAAAAAAAAAAGATTTTGGTGGCAACCAGCTGAGATAGTCGGCTTGTTCCCCCTGCTCGGTATTAGTAGGTCTTTAGCGAACACGTGTGTGTGTGAGTGGGCTATGTGTGGTCTGTGGGAGAGTGTTGACCTTAGACTGTGCTGTTAGGCGATGGGGGTGGGGGAAGATGAAAAGGGAGGTGCAGCTAATGGCAGAATGCTCGGTCTTTGTGTTAGCCAGGCTCCTATTGGCAACCCGAACCCTGGCAAGGGCAACATGCAATCCCTGGGCAACATGCAATCCCTTCACTGTGAGGTAGCTATGCTTGCAGGGGTCCCATCTATAGCCCTAGTAGTAGTGGTAGGTAGGTAGTGAAAGGTGAATTGAGAGAAGAATATAGCTTAGTTAAAGAAAAAGATTCTTTCCAAATCTAGAAAAGTTTGCTGCCGTGTCCAACTCTCGCCTCAGCCCGGCGCCTTTCCCAATAGAAACTTGAGACATATTCCAGTAGAGCACCTAGAAGTTGTATTCGAAGTTCGAAACCAGATCTCTCGAGGAATGTTGAATTGGAATAATAACTGCAAGGAAGGAGTTGGAATATTGCAATTGAAAAATATTCTGCTCACATCGTTGGATCACCAGCACTGTTTTCCGTCTTCATTGATGATAGAGAAGGGGCTGTTTGCTGAATGGGGAAATGCTGCTCTATTTTTCTACACTGCATAGATCAACAAAATTACTGAAGGGTAATGGGTTGTATTACTCAGCGACTCGATTGCCAAAAGGTATACACTTGCAGGTGAGGGGAGGTACATATTTCCACAAAGGAAGTCATCAATGCACCCACTCGGGTCTCCCTAGCATAAAGGGGACAAGCGTTGGAGTGAGTTGAATGCCACATTCTGACTTGCCAGTGGAATAGGAACCGGACTGACGCTTCCCAGAATAGATATGGAGCCGGAGCCATAAGGTTCGGTTTTCTGTATTGAAAAAAAAAACAAAAAACAAAAGACGTATTCAGTTGCAACTTGCAACATCAAAGCCTGATATGTCTTGATCCTATTGATTTGACACACTCTTTTCCTCTACTGCATGAATATTCAATCACATGTATTGAGTCTATTGACCCTTCAATCATGTGCATGCAGCCTTCAAACACTTAGAAGCCCAAGCCTTTCTAGCCCTACAAAAAGTAGGAAACCCATCCTTTTCACACCCTCAAGGGATGCAGCCTGCACAGCCACGGAACTTCTCGGTTCGAGGAGGCCTACGGAGGAGGTCTCCTGAAATCCTGGAAGGTCGTGAACAATCGAAAATGGAAAAGAAAACAAAGAGCTTACTATGAACCAAGAGCTGCACAATTAGCAGCGGAAAAAGATAAGAAACACTTCAAAACCATTGCCACTCATGAAAATTAGCACATTATTTAACGCTTTACTCTCACGGAGGACACAATGTGCAAATAAAGGAACTGAAGCACCCTTGCGGATATTCGAGCATCTTTGATGGTTTTGCTATCACGCTTGTGATGCTATGTCCTTACAAACCAAACGAGGGTTGTGACAGCTGTGAATGAGAAGTTCTTCAACTCGCCCTTCTCCTGCCCACAAACTGCCGAAATGTGGGGACAAGACAGTGGTAGCTGGTTATGCACTTACCATCCTATCTGGATTTTATTCCACCCCAATTGAATTCGAGTTGGGATTCTGAAGTTCGGCATTTTGAAACCAAGTTTGCAATCACAGTAGGGCTTCCTCTACTGAATCTGCAGTCAGGAATATGTGCAACTATACCCTAAGTTTGAGCTCCACCAGCAACACAATTCTATTCAATCTCTCTCACATGTCACTCAACTTCCACAAATTGCCATGACTGACAATTTGCAGATTGAACAAGCTACAAGGGCATTTATTGACACCTCCTTCAAAAAGCTTCGCAGTGCTGAAGGTATGGAGTTCAATGCTTTTCGGACTTCTGCTCAAATCGCCTGTTATGCTTGCCCTCAAACTGGGAACGGGACATGTCTTTTACTGATCCAGTGACTCTTGAAACGGACAGAAATGGGCCACTGGAAATGTACTTACCCTACATCACAGCCGCATGCAGTGCATCCACCGTAACCTTTTTTTTTGTGACACCCTGCCCTTTTTCTGTTGCTGAAAACTGGGCTAGCATCCCTCACATGATTTACACACTCCACGGCTCCCTCCGTTATGGTCAAGGGATCCTTAGACAGCCGCATTGATCGCTTCCTAGATAGGAAGGATTTACCTCTGCTCACCCCTTGTTTCTATCTAGCCCTATCTTTCCTAGTGTACCTGAGACCTGGAACTCTATGTCGCTCCTCAGCCGTTTGTCGCTGCCTGATCATTATCTGTTGAAAATTTGCTGTTTAGAACTCTTTCATTCCAGGAGTGACCAGTGCACGGTTCCTCCTTGAGGTCGGAGTCCACACTCCTCAAAGCCTTTGAAAATTTGCAATAGTTGCTTGTGCTGTTTAGAACTCTTTCATTCCAGGAGTGACCAGTGCACTGTTCCTCCTTGAGGTCGGAGTCCACACTCCTCAAAGCCTCCCTTGAGTGCTTTGTGCTCAATCTCTGTTATGTCCTTATAAGGTTGAGGGAGGACAGACTCCATTATAAGATGAGGCTCCCTGAACTTGATCATGGTAAGAGTGTGGGTTGCTAAAATTCGGACCTTTGTGTTCATAGAGCGGACTCCGTACGACATTTGTGTGCCCGGTGCTGAAGGGGGATGCAAAAGCATGGGTAATGCAGCAAGTGGAAGAGAGCGGATTTAGAGACCAACTAGATTGTTATGGCTCCAGCAAGTCACTAACTGAGTTCGTTGAGGAGTTAAGAGTCAGGTTCACGGACTACAATGAGGGATTAAAACAATGTATCAGATTATGGAGATTCATAGCTCTAAGCGGCACAGCACAAATGCTTTGATCCGCCAGATGCACCACTTGATTGGGAAGCAGGGTCACAGGTCACTCCACAACAGCAACTAAATCAGATTCACCACGCTATGCCTGAACCCATTAGCACCGACAAGGGTTCACTTATAGGAAGTATACTGAGCGAAACCTGTTGGCTGTTAACTCAGGACAATCCTTCCCTTATCTAGTCTTCCATAACTCAGGACAATCCTTCCCTTCGTGAAGGTCAAGTGATTCCGACTGATATGGATGGTAGCTATGACATTGAGTGCATGGTAGATCAGGCTGAACTTAGGACCAATAGAGGGGGGAGACCACGACTAAGAGGCAAATGTTAGTACCAAGACTCGGAAGAGGATAGGTGGTTTCCCAAACAGAGACTTCGTGAGACCAAACCTTGCATTGTCTCAAATTATGAGCAAACACAGGGAAACCGTGAATTTGACAGGTCGACAGCCCATGTTCATATTACTCTGCATTTGTCGGTTCTCTCACGACTATTACTCCTCACTCTTATCTCTTTTTACACCCTTTTCTTCCTCTTTGTCATTATTGAATCGAGACGCCTTCTCTTTCGCTCGTGATGATGATGATGCGCGGCTATGGATTTCCTCTCGCCACGCCCGAAGGCGTGGCTGAACTTTCCCTGTTTTTTCTCCCAGGTCCGTATCCCCTCTAAGATTCGAAAAGTTCCTGCACTCGGCGCGGAAGTTCGTAGTGGTGGGCGGGCCCTGTGGTGACCACGAAAGGCCCGTGAGGAAAGCCAAGGCGCTGTGTTCCAAAGGCGTTAGCAATAACCGCTGGCGCTAGCGCTCAGTTTCACAGTTCAATTCTTTGTGGCCGGCTTGGTGTGGATCTTGAGTGTGATGCATGTATAAAGTTTGAAGCAACAAAGACGAGAAAGCAGGATCTTCTTCAGTGGAAGCAGGACCTTTTCACTGGAGGCAGGCCATTGGAGGTGGGTCTGCTCCTCCGGAGCTGTCCTTGCACTGAAAGGTGGAGCTGGTGACACAGGCGCACGGGAACGCTTAGTGCCCTTGCCAGCTGGTGGTGCACGGTTCGTTGCTCAAGGGGGGGATTGCTCACCACATGTTCTAGAATTTGAACGTGTTTGGCCCACGTGAAAGAGCGGTGGCACGTTCAAGCGAGGATGGTGGGAGAAAGCTCTTCTTTTAATGCTAGGGAGTGGCGCTAGGACTGAGCGAATGTTTTGTTATGTTTAACACAATTGTTATTTATTTTATTATTATTATTATTTTTTCTTCAGAACCTCTTGGTTCTGGCTCCTACCATTCTGGGGAGCAACAGTCCGGTTCCTTTTCCCCCGACAAGTCAATAAGAGATACATAAGAGACTCACGCACGCTCCCCCCCATTATGGCTGGGAGATCCGAGTGGGCGACGTTGATTACTCCTCGAGGAAGGATGTATCACCCCTTGCCCCTGCCTAAGTTAGCCTACTCCAACTCCGTTTGCCAATCCAACTAACCCAGTTTTGCTCCTTCCTAGTTTGAAGCTGTCAGTTGGGTGTATTCTATCAGAGTGTTCTGGGGCGCTTATGAATCTGTTGAAAAGACTCAAGTCTAAACACCCTAATTACCTAATTTCTTTAACAATCCTAAAACCTAAACCCTCGGTTATAATGCTGTCATGGATTACCCGCCGCGAGTGCAAGAGATAAGAAACTGAGCTGTTCCTTAGTCCTAGACCTATGCCTTCGTGGTCGATTGCTGTCAAGAGGAAAAGTTGATCCCTGGGGTATTCATTGGGCGAAAGGTTGGATCACGCTACTTTGCATTTGTCCCAGAGAGCTCTTGCATGTTGACAATGTAGGAAGCAGTGAGTTAGCGTCTCTCTTTCTTGATCCCGACGCATCTGGCAGTGTGCCGAAGTTTCCGATCTGTCCTCCTCTCTTCTCCTTGAGTCCAGCCATGCACAGACTGGTGGACTCCAGCCAGCCCAATGACAGAAGAGGACAGAGAAACCTGGAGTGTTAAAAAGGAACAGCCGGCCTCACTTGTCCCTTCAGGGAAAAACGGCTTGAAGAGGGTTTAGGGCCTAAGGGCCACAAGAGAGTATTAGTCCAGCACCGAGACCGCTCTACACCCCATCATGAAGCCACTGCAAATATTAAGACGGAATAGGACTCAGAAGGATCAGGAAGCAGGGAGAGAATAAGGATCCGGAATCCATCCCATGGACAACTGAGCAATTAGACCAGATACCTGTCAACACCAGTTCTGGCACCACCACAATTAGTTAAACTAGGTTCGGTAAAATACGAAGGACACGTATAGAGAAACATGAAGTAGGTGGTGATAAGAATCATCATTCCATTAGGATTAACCTCCTGAGAAGAATCAGTCCCCGAGGAAGATGGGGAAATCATAGAGCTGCTGAGAAGAACAACCTTGTGGGTAATCTGGAGAGCTAGATGCGGGACCACAATAGGCAAAAAGAAGATATCGACTAATGAATCATGGGAAGAGGCGAAAGTATTGGTGGAAACAGGAGTCAGAGCGGAATGGAAGCAAACCCTGAGTAGGATGGAGAAGGAAGGAGAAGCACACAAGAAGACCAAGCTACAAAAAGAATTTGAGAAGACATTGCTAAAGGGAGTTTTACTGGCACGGCTAACCGGGAAAACCCTCCACATTAACCATTGGACCTTATTCGTTGAGGTTTTATGGAGGCGTAAAAGGACCACGGGATTGTCTGGAAGGAGACAGGGTCCATCTGCAGATTCTTTTCCCATCTTGCCGCTATGACGGGTTGCGGGTTCTCTGCCGTGCGTCTAATGTTGTATCCTTTCTTAACTGTGTATTCGTACAATGTGGTCCATTTTTGGGCTCTACCTCATCCCCTCCTCTCGTACCATCCCCATTCATTAGGGTTCACTTCTAGCTCCGAGATGTCCTTGTTAGGGCGAAACAGCAACATGGGGGCTTACTCCTTTCCTCGCCCTTTCTTAGACCTTCTTTGTTCGTTTTTTAATTCTCTGACTTTATGCACATCTCTAGTGTTGAATTCTAGTGCTGTTAGTGAGTCTTTTCTGATTGTGACTATTGATTTGTTTTTGTCCTCCAGGTCATGTACTTCAAAGAGAGTTGTACTTTTGTCTGGTTACGAGCACTCTATGAAGCGAAGACCCACCGAGGGAGTGTCCTGCGTCTTCAGGGTTGCCCAGTCGCCCTTCTTCCATACTCTCTCCTTTTTTAGCGTTGCTCTCCAGACAATTGGGATGCTGTCAATTAGCTCCTTTAGGTTCTTGTGGTGGCCTTTTAGTTTGTTCCTAAGCTCCCCCTCTGACTTCCATTTGCCGCTCTTGTTCATACCATAAGTGTTCTATCCTCCATATTCCTCTTTCTATCCAAGTTCTCCTTTCCCTTTCCGTTGAGGGACCATGCCTTCCCGTCTTGGTCCTTTAGTAAATCATTCCCAAAGAGAGGTTGTCGCAGGATTTCTTCTTTCATTTTTGGTCCCCTTCTTCTTTGTGGGAAGGCTTCTCTCCAGGCGGTGATTAATTTGGACCAATGTCCACTTGGGGGGTCGACACTCGGTTGTCCGTCCCTCCGTCTGGGTCTGGTCCCTTCTTTTCTGGGTGTCCAGTGTTTGTTCATGAGCCATGGGTATCCTTCTATGCCGTCGTGGGTCTTGAAGGGTAGTAGGTTGCTTATTTGGTAAAGAGCCATCTCTTGCCATGGTATTTCCAGTTTCAGAATTAGTCTTAGGACCCACTTTGTCTGAAGAGCTTTGTATTCTGTTGTTGGGTCGATGAGACTGAGACCCCCTTCGTTTGTTGAGTTGGTTACGTATTTCCATGCCACCTTTGGCATGAATTGGTTTGTTGATGCATCGCCTGTCCATAAGTATGCTGCTGCTTTTCTCTTCAGGTCCTTCGTAAAGGTTGGTGGTGGGTCCCAGATTGAAGCTGTATACCAGACCATGGAAAAGATCAAGGAGTTAATGACTAGGGCCCTACCCATTAGGGGTGTGTGTGTTCTCTG